TGAATTTTGCTACAATAGGCTCCATTCTTAACTATGGGCCATCTGTAACCCAGGCGTTCTTAACCCAGGGGCTCCCCGTACATAATCTTCTCACTTGAATAGTGAGCTGAAAAGCAAAGTGTATTCAAAGATAGCCAGAGGCCACATATAGGGGATAACCTGTAAGCCAGAAGTTTACTCCCTTTCTTTCCTTTCCCCCAAAGAAATACACCTTTCATTACATCACTCTAATTAATATATCTTTCTATATAGCACAATATTGACAATGTAAGGTAATGTCAAAATCAATAAAAAAGAAAAAAGCCTGGAAAATCGTATCTTAAAAACAACTGCAACTAATTTTGACCAAATTGCCCAAAACTCTTCTTCTTTTCCATTTTGTCAAAAAAACCAAAACAAAACAACTAAATCCCAACAAATAAACAAAGAACCCAAAAGCAACTTCCCCCACAAAACCTAATACAAATGTTGGAAAACAACTTGGATCATCAAGCTATTGCTGCAGATTAGGTGTAGATTTCTCCTTCCGATGTTGTATAATAATTCTTTTAACCAGTGCTATGCCTCAAAAATCCTGATTTCTTGATAAACTGCAAACACATACATCAGAAGTTCAGGATATTTTCAAATCTTTATATATCTGCTTCTTTTTTCACTATCAGTTTGTACAGGATGGAAATATAGACTATACGGTATGCTGGACGACCATTTGGTACAAATAAAGAATTGAGAAGAGATATATACCAAATGACTATTCAAAGTAGTATTTCTAAATTCACTTCTTTTATTCTTCAGATAAGCTTTGGAAAACAGCCCATTACTTGGCGTAATTGAAGTTGAAGCAGAACAAGAACATGTTTCTCTCCTTCCTATCATCATTTCTCACCTTTTTGTGAGGAATTCCTGACTGTAGTACTTGAACAGGAAGTAATCTTGGAGGGACATATGAAAACAGGAAGTGACTTGAGGAAACTGGAAGCCATTTGTTTGTTCTTTTGCCTGCATCACTATCATGGGCACAGTTTGGTAGCTGACACTGTCACCTAGAATAGGAAACTAGTCATAGAAAGGCACGCATGACCCTGGTGCTTATTATATTTACTAGGACAGTGGAAAGAAACAACTTTTAAATGCTGGCTATTTTTTGACAAAGTAACATATCAAGACAAAATTAAAATTTCCCAGAAGGGAAATGATGGGTAATATCCATTGGAAATCCACTGGAATGTCGCTCATTCCAAAGACCTCATACATTTGGATTGATATATTTGTTCAAAAATATACTGGACATAATGATGGCAGGCTGATGTATTAAAATCAGCCTTGAGGCTGATGTACATTACATAAGTTTATGTGTAGGGGGATATATAAGACAGTGGAGAATAAGAGGCAGGAAGAAAGGAAGAGCTGTTGCCTGTGCTTTTTACTTCTTAAATAATTTGCTTCAGGAGTTTTTCCCCCCAGTGAAGGGGAAACTGAAAATAATTGCCATTAACAAAAATGGCCAGAGTGCAGTGACTTGGGAACCAAAGACATGAATGGGCAGAAGATTCTTCCAGTCCATTTAAGAAGCTGAATGGCTCTTCTGATAACTGCTCTTATGCAATGGCCTTTCAAACAATTCCAATATATTTGCTGCAAGAAAATGCTTAGCGGCATGTTACTATCTAAGCAACTTGTTCATAGATGGTCATACTAACATTAACACTGGTCTTATTAGATCAGTGCAGACATTTCATTGTTCCAGTCATGGAATTGTTTTTAAACAACTAGTCTGGGCTATATATTTTGATTTGGGGGTGGAGGTGGAATTCAGCATATATTCTGTAGTGAAATAAATGAATACAATGCAAATTTGGATAAGTACCATCTTTATAATCTGCAATTCTAAATAATTCAGTCTGGGGTATTTTGGTACAGATTATATCTATCATAGATTTGCTGGTATTGTATTTGCCATAGAACTTTACTGTATTGTAGCAGGTAGGACACAGCTCAGTGAATGTAGGTGCTACAAGGAAAAAGTCCCTTGTTTAAGTCCCCAACACTTCCAGACAGAATCCTGAAATCATGGAAAACCTTTGCCAGTAAGGAGATCCATTGCCTGGATGGAAATAGAGTACCTGTTCTGGTCTTAGTAGCCTTCAATACTCTTTATTGACATGGTATCTTTCTGGACCAGCTATGGGGCTGGGCACTGTTTTCCACTCCTTCCTCAGGGGCTGGTTCCAGCTGGTACTGACTTGTCAGCTTTTCAAGGTAGACTAGACTAGGAAACCAAACTTATGAATGCTAATACTAGTTTTATTATAAGTTACAGTAACAGAATCTTGCAAGCCTGAACATGCTTTCCCCCTCCCTTTATTTTTGTGAGAACTAAGGAGGGTTAGGTCTGAGTTGCTTTCTCAAATTACATTTCTGTCTCTCACTCAAATTTCTTTTATCTGACTGTTATCTTGGTTGCAGCTCTTCCTCTGTTTCTCAATCCTACTTCCCATTACATGACTGGGGAAGAGAGATCAGCCTAGTGGCTGCCCTCTATGGGATACCACAAGGGTCAGGACTCTCCCCAGTGTTATTTAATATCTAGTTTCATCCAGCAGTTTGGGTTCCAGTATCATCAATATGCTGATGATTCCTAATTGTACATCATGACCCCAGACCATGCTAAAGTTGTTGAAGCCTTGTCCCAGTGGACTGGAGGCTATGAAGGTCTAGATGGGAGAACAGCTTAAACTAAACCCTGGCAAGGTGGAGCTACTGTTTCTACATCAGGGTTCCTCTCTGTCCTGTCTTATTTCACAGGTCTACTTTTAAAGACCACCTGGAAATTTCAGTTGGTGAAAAATGAAGTAGCCTGGGTGCTTACAGGTTGGCACGTATTACTCCTGTTTTGTGGGCTCTGCACTAGCTTTCTATTAGCTTTTTTACCAACAGACCAAACTGCCC